CATAGCTAGCCAGAAACAATCTGGCCAAATTTTAATATTTTCTTTAAATCCCTGTTATCGGGCTCCTGGGTGGCTCAGTCCTTTAAGTGTCTGCCTTTGGCTCAGGTCATGAGCCATGAGCCTAGGGTCCTAGGATAGAGCCCCATGTCGGGCTCCCTGCTCAGCAGGGAGTCTGCTTCTCCCTCTGTCTCTGCCCCTCCACCTGCTCATTCTCTCTCTCTCTCTCTCAAATAAATAAAATCGTAAAAAAAAAAAAAAGAAGAAAAAAAACCTGCCAGGAAGTGTTTGAAAAAAAAGAAAAGCTTATACAATTAGTGTAAATGATAAAACAGTCTTTAGTATTGATAGAATGAATAAAAGATTACTGGAATAGTATACATAACAAATCCACATACATTTAGTATATGACTACACTATGACGTCTTAATGGTGTACAACAAATCAGTATAAAAGGATGGATTATCAACTCAATACCATTTTTTGATTAAAAATAAATACTTTATATAACACACAAAAATAAATCCTAGGTGTATTGAACATTTATTTATTTATTTATTTTTAAAGATTTATTTATTTGAGAGAGAGAGAGAGTGTGTGTGTGATGTAGGGAGGGGCAGACGGAAAGGGAGAGAGAGAATCCCAAGCAGACTCCCTGCTGAGCGTGGAGCCTGATATGGGGCTCGATCCCATGACCCTGAGATTATGAACTGACCCAAAATCAAGAGTCAGATGCTTAACTGACTGAGCTATGTGCCCCTTGAACATTTGTAAAATGTAAAAAATAAATAAGATTATTAGAAGAAAACAGATTTTTTTTTAAGAAAACAATGTTGATGGAAGGTTTTTTCTAAGCATGATGTGAAATTGGAAGCCATAAAAACTGACAAATTTGACTACACTGAAAAAAAAAATACCATAATCAAGGGTTAAGAGATTAATAGCATACTAGGAGGACATATTTGAGGCCAGTATAATAAGGAATCAGCAATATTAATAAGTCAATGTGAAAAAGTCAAACAGCCCAATAGAAAAAATAGGGAAAGAACATTAATAGACAATTAATGGAAGATCTATAAATGGCAAAGTAACATGTGAAAAGGTACTACACTAATGAGCAAAGAACTAGCAATTAAAATAAGGAATGTTTTGCCTGATTGACAAACATTATAAGGATTAATGGTATCTAATACTAGTGAGGGTTTAGTTAATGATAATGTAAACTGGTACAACTTGTGTTGAAAAGCAACTGGACATATGTATTGTAAATTTATCATTAAATTTGTATACTCTTTGACCCAGAAATTCTATGTCTAACAATTTATCCTGCAGATTTACTCACATAAGTAGAGATAACACATACAAGGATATATTTTCTATAATATTGCTTATAAGGATATAAGTTCTACAAAAGTAAGGGCTTGCTATGTTCACCACTGAATCCCCATGCCTGGAAGAGTGCCTAGTACATACTAAGTGGCTCAAAAGATACGTATTGAATGAATGATGAAAAAACTGGAAATAATCTATCAAAAGACTGCCTCGGTAATAGAGCATGTGACTCTTGATCTTGGGGTTGTGAGTTTGAGTCCCACCCTGGGTATAGAGATTACTTAAAAATAAAATCTTAAAAAAAAAGGTTAAGGGCACCTGGGTGGCTCAGTCAGTTGAACGTCCGTCCGACTCTTGATTTCTGCTCGAGTCATGATCTCTGGGTCGTGGGATCAAGCCCTGCATTGGGCTCTGCATTCAACAGGGAGTCTGCTTGAGATTCTCTCTCTCTCCCTCTCCCTTTCCCTGTGCTTCTCCCCCCACCCCGATGCTCTCCCCGTCTCTCTTAAAATAAATAAATAAATCTTAAAAAAAAATAAAAACAGGGTATTGCTATCTAGAGGTTAAAAGCTACCTTTGGCAGCTGCAGTAATCTGCTCTACCTACCTCTCATTCATGCACTTAACAAACACATATTGAGCTCTACTATATTCTGAGTATTGTGCTAAGGAACCAATAGTAAGAAACAGTCCCCAAGGGAAATAATTATGTTATGTATTATTATGACATGCCCTTTAGATATCTCTGCTAATTCTCAGATAGCTTCTAGGACCACAGTTTATAGTAACACAAATATATAATAATAACAGATTTAATAATGTCTTAACCAGAGAAAAGGGTTATCCCTTTAAGGGTAATAATAAACTTCTTAAAATTGCTAGGAACGTTTTAATGTATATCGTTTACCTTGTGTAAGAAGTCCTCTAAATTGCTCAACTGCTTTGTAAACGTCTACTTGGAAAAATTCCCAGAGTTGAATCTTTGGAAAAATATCCTCCCAAATTATTTTTCGAATGCACTGAAAAATTTCAATAGTTAAAAAAAATATATTTAAAATCTTTTCACTAAATATTATTTATCAAATTAAAGATAGACTCTAAATAATTTTCAACCATACATTTACTTTGTACTTTAGAAATTTTGTTTTTCTGTTTTAGTGTGGTACTCGTCTATACATACTGACATTCATTTGATGATCATTTTCAATCAAAGCAGGTACTCCTTTTTCTTTATATTTCCCTTCTGCAACGTCACAGGATAAATGCCACAGTGCTCTGTCTAAGACCCAGGCAGGTTTTAAGTGTGGAGAATTTACAAGGTTATATGCACTTTCTGGATGTTCCTGGATCCATCTACTATTAGCAGCTTAAATAAAAAGGAAACATAAAGAAATATCTTGTAATTAAAGTGAAGTTAGTATCTATGTTAAGTTTAAAGATGAAACAAAGTATCAACATCCACCACTCATTTTCTTATATATTAGACATCAATACTTAAATATTATATTATAATTATATTACATAAACTATATATTATATATTCATGTTACATTTTATATTAAATATTTGATATTAATTTAAAATATTTATCATAATTTATGCTACTGTAATGTGAAAAACATTTCTTGGTTGTGGTGTCCTGTCATCCACTTCACCATACATTTTTCTTTTCTGTTGTAGGAATTTTTAATTGTAAGATGCAACACTGACTTATTAACACCCCTGTAATGACATGTTTACTATTGTGAGAGTTAAGAAGGGCCTTGTCCTTAGTCCATTTTGACAGTCAACTACAGTTTGGAACATTCCTTCTAAGCCTGAAAAACATCTTTCCTGCAAGCCAGACAGGGCTTCTGCCCAATCTTCAGAACTCAGAATGTCATATACACCTTTTTTCCTGCATAATCATTTCTTCCTATATTTTTGCGGGGAGAAGGGGTAGGGAGGTGAGTTTCCTTCCTCTGGATCTTTAAATATGATTGTATCTCCCTAAGGCTACCAATACAAACAAATACACATCCTACTCAAACACAGTTATTTCTCTGACTTCTGTAGTCTATTAGTATCAAGACCAAATGTCTAGAAAATCCAACCTGAATCTGCTTCCACCTTCTCCCCACAGTCTTGTTCCTTTTCCCACTGCAATCTGCTGCTGCATCCAGCACTCCACTGACGTTACCCTAAGCCTCCTAATCATGAGATTTAGTGCTACTTTCTCAACTTCATCCATTCAACCTCTGTAACATTTGCCATTACTGATTATTCCTTCACTGATTTATAAAATACTTCTTTGATTTACAAAAGGTATCTTTATTTTGGTGGTTTTTTTATTTTTCCTTCTCTCTTTTGGTCCTTCTCATTTCTGCTAAACCTTTGAGGGAGGTTTGCTACATTTTAGTCCTTCTCTTTCTTTGAACATGTCCTTCCTCATCTCACCCACTCTTCTTAGTACTCACATCTCAAACCAGTCCCAGCTCCAGCCAAGGCCCAGGCACATCTACCCAAGTATTTGATGGGTAGCACTGCCTGAGGACAGCATGTTAACTCAAAATCCATTCATATGTTTACATCACTCAGAATGTGATCTGTCGGGGCACCTGGGTGGCTCAGTTGGTTGGGCGACTGCCTTCGGCTCAGGTCATGATCCTGGAGTCCCAGGATCGAGTCCCGCATTGGGCTCCCTGCTCAGTGGGGAGTCTGCTTCTCCCTCTCCCGCTCCCCCCTCTTGTGCTCTCTCACTCTCAAATAAATAAATAAAATCTTTAAAAAAAAAAAAAAAAAAAGAATGTGATCTGTCCCAGGCACTATTCTGGGAGATGGATATTCTGCAGCAAAAGTGAGCAAGGCTCCTGTCCTCATGGAGCTTTTTCATTCTAGAGAGGTGGGTTTGTTTGTTTGTTTTATTTTATTGTGCTTAGACAATTCTGATGGAAGAAAACTCAGTTCTCTCACAGGCAACCTCTTTGTATAGCTAATCTTGAATGGTTAATAAGATACATTGTTTTAGTAAGACTGATAAAAGTGAGGCTGAGAAATTGCTAAAAGAAACATAGTCAAAGGACAAGGGTGTAGCTTACATCTTACTATCCATTTGTATCAGTAAATTCGAATCAGAATCAGAGGAGTTCTGCCAGGTATTCCAAGTATTTACAACATTAAAGAATATTTGTTTTAATTTTTAAGTAAACAAATAAAAGCTATACATATTCTGTTTCATCTTTAAGATAGAGTAATGCCCCTGAATTCATACTGAGGAGGCTGAGTGGTCAATATACATGAAACAAAAAGTAGTAACAACTGTTGAATACCTACCATATACCAGTTAAATATCCTAATTTATTAATCCTCATGTCCTACCACATTGTGTAGGACATGCTATTGTGTTTCTTTAACAGATAAGGAACTGAGGCACAGAGAGATAAGTAACTCAGACAAAGTCATACAGGCAGGAATGAATTTGGGCAAGTTTCTTCAGAACTTGCAATCTTAACCAAATGAGTGTGTTCATGCCTCATTCACTCAGCTGAGCACCATTACAATCCTTACAGAGTTTAAAAATCATTATTATTTTAGTTTCAGTAATTTATTTAGTAAATAACGTAATATATAATTTATTTATTTATATCTATAATGAACACTTGGATGAAGACAGGATACATAAGAAACAGAGATGTTGTAATAAGTTAAATTAATAATTCTCCAAATCCAAATCAAGCTGGGTTTTCCCTAGATTCATCATCATAGTTATTAGAATTCAAGATGTAAGAGAAAAATGTAATGATAATTATATCCAGTTTGGATTTTCATTTATTAAGAATACTAAGGCTACCCTAATTTTTTAAATGGTAAAATCCTGAAACTTCGTTGCTTATTTTATTTTTTTGAAATAATCAAGTGTAGGGCGCCTGGGTGGCTCAGATGGTTAAGCATCTGCCTTCGGCTCAGGTCATGATCCCGGGGTCCTGGGATTGAGTCTCCCTCTGCCTCTCTCTCTCTCTCTCTCTGTCTCTCATGAATAAATAAATAAAATCTTTAGAAAAAAAAAAGAAATAATCAAGTGTAAAATGAAGGAATTCTAAACATTAGCTAATAAAGTATTTTTTTCTAATTCTACATGAATGAGAAGTCAAACCAAACTACATCTTAATATATATGGATTTCTAAAGTGGTGCAGTGAGGAACTTAGCAGACATTCTCCCCAGCAAAACTGCAATTTAAATAGCAAAAATTACAAAATATAATCATTTAAAGTCTCTGGAAATTGTCCTAAGGGCATTCAACACATGGACAAACATTTATTCAAGAAAATCTACTAACTCTCGTCAAGAATAGCAAGTGTCTGTGGCATTTGAACTACAATCTGCTCCCTTAACCCTCCCAACCAGCTATGTGTTAATGGAAGCTCTATGCCAGGTAGGCATGGCCAACATGGAGCCTCCCTCTTCCCACCACTCCCAGTCTGGGGTTACAGTTTCATGCTGGGAGAGGCAGGCTGCCTAGGTTTCTCACTCCCTCCAGCCCCATTTTGTAGAAGCTCTATTCCAAGCAGGCAGGCAAAGAAAATCTCGGCTCCTTTCCTCCACCTAGTCACCACCCCACCTTGTAGGGTGGACATCCCTTGTAGGGAGGCCAAGAATACTGGGACTCCAATTGCCCCTGAGAGCTGGAGCTTACTTGTAGGGTGAAGATTCCACGTGGGAAGGGCAAATGAGAAGACCAGGGATTGCCACCTCCTGCCTTGAGTGCCCCCAGAATGAGATGGTACTTGGAGAAAAGTGGTCTCATCCCCAGCTCTGGAGCAGTGGCACAGGTGTTCTGCTCAGGGAGAAAGGCCATGAGGATAAAGGGCTCTGCTGGAAAGGACTGAATTTATTTGGAACAGTGAGTGAAGAATTCCACGTGTAAAGGTGTCATTGAAAATAATGAAGACCTTGGTGGGGAGCAGTTAAGAGAATGCTGCTAGCTCCATTGTGTAAGGAAAACATCAGAGCAAACAAACAGAAGCTTAATAGAACCAGGGAAAGAGAAAGCAGAGGACAGCCTTCCTGGGGCTGCACCCACTCAGAAGCAATTCTAATAGGACATGGGAAAGACTTGAAAACATTCCTCATATCTCATACAGACCCATCAACATAGGATAACTCACTGGCAAAGGGACTTAAACACAACCTCTACCCAAACATGGAGTGAACACTAACCTACTCTAACCCAGGGTGAATCCTAGGAAGCCAGGCTTAAAAATAAAATCACATTCGGGCGCCTGGGTGGCTCAGTTGGTTAGGCGACTGCCTTTGGCTCAGGTCATGATCCTGGAGTCCCGGGATCGAGTCCCGCATCGGGCTCCCTGCTCGGCGGGGAGTCTGCTTTGCCCTCTGACCCTATCCCCTCTCATGTGTTCTCTCTCAAAATAAATAAATAAAATCTTTAAAAAAAAAAAATAAATAAATAAATAAAATCACATTCACCTCTGGCAGTCTGGGAGACCATATATATGCCCAAAGCTGTGTTGTCTCCAGAGCAACCAGACAGAGAACCTCCAAGCTGCCAGTCCTTGATAAATTTTTATCCATCCTTTTACTGTCAACCTGTTTGTATCTTTGAATCTAAAGTGTAGATTTATGCCTGCAGACAGCATATAGTTGGATCTTGTTTTTTCAATTAACTCTGAAAGCCTCTGCCTTTCAAGATATAGACACACCTTGGAAATATTGTGGATTTGGATCCAGACCATTGCAATAAAATGAAAATTGCAACAAAGCAAGTCAAACAAATTTTTTTGGTTTCCTAGTGTATAAAAAAGTTATGTTTATACTATTTTATAGTCTATTAAGTATGCAATAGATTATATCTAAAAAAGCAATGTACATACCTTAAATAAAAAATACTTTAATGCTAAAAAATGCTATTATCTGAGCTCTCACCAAGTCATAATCACAAATCACTGACCACCATAACAAATATAATGATGAAAAAGTTTGAATTACAAAAAGTTGGTAAAAATTACCAAAATGTGACACAGAGACTTGAGGTGAGCAAATGCGTTGGAAAAATGGCATCATTAGACTTGTTCGATGCAGGTTGCCACAAACCTTCAATTTGTAATTAAAAAAAAAAAGCAAGCAAACAGTAACTGAGAAGTGCAATAAAACGAAGCATAATTAAACAAGGTATGCATTACTTTAAAAATTCCCTAGATCTTTGGCTTACAAATTTTTTACTATGCTGAGTGTGGCTATCTTTGTTATGTTATTTAAAGTACACTGAGCTTTAGGATGTGTAGATTAATTTTTTTTTTAATCAAATTTTAAAGGTTGGGAAGTTTTCAGCCATTACTTCTTCAAGTGTTTTCTCTGTTCTTTTCTTTCCTCTCCTTCAGGTATTTCCATGATGCATGTTGGTGTGGTTCAAGATGTCCCACCTTTCACTGAAACTCTGTTCATTTTTATCTTCTTTCTTCTGATCTTCAAAATGTATAATCTCTGTTCACTGGTCCTTTATTCTGTCAACTCAGATATAGTGCTGAATACCTCTAGTGAATTTTTAATTTTGGTTATTTACTTTTCAACTCCAGAATTCCCATTTGGTTACTTTTAAAATTTTCCATTTACTGATACTCTCTATTTGATGAGATATCATCATCATATCCTCCCCTTTACTGCTTATAACCTGGTGTCTTTTAATTCTTTAAATATATTTATAATAGTTGCTTTGAAGTCTATGTTGGCTAAGCATGACATCTAGGACTTTTTAAAGGCATTTCTGTCGCCTGCTTTTTTCTTGTGTATGGGTCACCCTTGTTGTTTCTTTGCATTTCTCAATTTTTTGTTACAAATTGGGCAATTTAGATAACGTATTGTAGCAACTCTGGATATTGAGCCCATTCCTTCCAGGTTTTGTTAGCTGGCTGTCTGTAACTTGGCTAGACTATTTCAGTGAAGTCTATTTCCCCTACAGTGTGCAGCCACTGATGTTGCCACTCAGAGGGGCAGCCGTGGCCACGGGCAGTCAGTCTGGGATGACAGTGGTTTTTAGCAGGGTTCTCTTAACTGTCTCCTTCCCTGAACTTTGTTAAACTGCTTGCCTCTGCTGGAATCACACTTAGCTGTTACTCTTTTGTGCTACTATTTTTTGATAATAGGCTGGAGCATAAATTACTCCACAATCTGATCCAATTAAATTTGGACTCCTTGGCAGGGATAATCTCTGATGCCAGTCTCCGAGACTTGTCTGACCCCAGGAGGACTGTTCTTAGCTGTCTCTTTCCCTCGTTTTCTCAGTTAAACTACTAGCTAGCCTATGATTTCATGTGTTGCTCATGGTGATACCAGCCTCCTCTTGTTTATCACCAAAGTCTCCATTGTTTCCAACAGCGTCCCATGCTATGTACCAAATAAAGTCAATTTCATTCTTACTCTGTTCTGACTGCACATCTCCTCCTCTGCACAGAACACCTGTGTCACTGCTCCACAGCTGGTGACAGGAACTGTAACCTCTGGGTTTTTTGGCTTACCTCTCCAGGTATGGAACCTCCACCCCACAAGCAAGCTGGGGCAAGGGCAACTGGGGCCCAGTATTCTTGCCCTGCCATGCATGGGGTAAAGCTTTTCCTCTATGAGTGGGGTTGGATGAAGGAAGGGAGCCCAAGACCTCTCAGCTGTTCTTGCCCAGAACAGAGTTTCTGCAACAGAGTGCTGGAGTTGGGAGAGGCATGAAAAATGTTGGAAGCCTTACCATTTCAACTGTAGCCCCATACTGGGAGCTGAGGAGAAAAGGAGCCTTGTGTTCCCAGCTTCACCTGCCAGGAGTAGACCTACCATCATTCTGAGCTGGGGCAGGGAGAAGAAGGTCCTGGTTCAAATGTCACAGACTATCACTGCTCTTACTGAGAGTTAGTAGATTTCCTTATATGCTTCTCCATATGCTGAATCCCCTTAGAACAATTTCCAAAGAGTTTAAACAGTTTTTTTAAAAATAATTTTTACCAGTTGTTTTGCTGGGTAGAGGGTCTGTGAAGCCCTCACACTGCCAATCTGGAAGTTGACTCCCCCTGGATGGTAACTTTATAATGAAAACCTGTTTCACAGAAAGAACATTATGATTTGTAATTAAAAAAAAAAAGCAAGCAAACAGTAACTGAGAAGTTACTGAGAAAGTTACACTTTCCAATTTAAGGCTGAAGCAAAGTTTACTTTTTTATATTGCTTAGAATCTCTCAAATGCCTCAGAAATATAGTCTCTGATAGAGACTGCTACTGTACCCCAATTTTTTTCTCCCTTTGTTCCTTTAGTAACAGAATTCCCAAGGTTCAGTTGTACATACGGCTGACAGGCTATACTGCAAGACTCCTTTACAGCTAGGTGTGACAAGAGAAAAAAATCCTATCTGATAAAATGTGACAATACACACACACACACACACACACCAGATCATGCCCTTAAAAAGCATGACTTCCCTTCCTCATTTCCACTGGTAGAAGGTGATACTGAGAACTGGAGTGGCCATATTTGATTAAGAGTTGGAAGCAAAGTGTTGGAGTTAGAGCAGCATGAGCAAGAACCTCATTCTCTATTACCACTGAGCTACTATAGTAGTCTGGGGATGTGTATCTCATCTTTTATAAGAAATACAGTTTCAGTCTTATATCACTACGTTTTTGTCTCATTGTTACAGCTGCCTATCCCATATCCTAACTCATATAATGTCATTATGTAGTTTGATAAATTTGATGGGAATGATATTATAGATGTTAAAGTAATTATCAATAATGTCAAATTTTCAAGTGAAGAATACTGAGTTCTTAGATATTAGGAAGTTTTCACTGTGGCTTACAGAGAAGATAATATTTGCAAGGCACCCTGGGTTAAACTGAAAGCTGATCATGGCCAGGGGCTTCTCCAGGCCCAGCTGTTCTGACAGGTGATTGGAACAATCATCTCCCTGAGGATCACGATCAGTTGGGAAGTTCTGATACATTTAATAGAATTGTATATTGGTGAAGAATCTTGGGATCCAAATGGGTTAACTTTAATAAGCCCTTCTAGTATGTAAGGGGTATAATTTTTAGATTTAACTTCTAAGAGTTTACCAATAACTTTCTGTTTAAATAACATTCAGTTTTTTCAAATATATACTATAGTACCAGAGCTGTTGCTATATGGGATTCACATGTTGGTCTGCAAAGTATTAATACTGCAAGCTGAAATATGTGCTTATATGTCTCTTCTATGATCACTCTCTTGTTTTTATAATCATCACACTGAAAATACTTACAAGCTGATTTTACCTTCAACTAACACTGTTTCTTTGAAAGGAAAAAAGTGGTACTATATAAAGTGATTTTTAACTTGAAAGACACCTATGCATCATTTGTGTTTTCAAAATTTATGTTATATAAAACAGCAAGAAATAAAATAATCAGAATATAATATTTTCATCAAAAATAATGGAAGTAGTTAATAAAGCTCATACCAGTATGGTTGTAGACAACATCAGTAATACAAAGAATATTCCATTCCTTTTTCAATTTTTCCACTAGCTGTCCAACATCATTCCAGGTATACTTTTTATTAGGTCTTGAAAAGTCAGGATTTAATTCTAACTGGTCGGCAAGGGAGTAGCACGATCTAGATAGTCCAAGAGTTTGTAATGGGGTAAAATGAATCATGTTGTAACCTGCAACACAAGAAAATAAACAAAGACCAATGTAAGAAAAAAAAACAAACTAAAACTAAGCAAAATACAAGTTTAAACTTCTTTAAGTAATTCTAAATAGCAAGGCAACCATGCAACTAGAAAAGGAGTCAAAGACTAGCTGTACCCCAAGTGACTTCAAGCAAGTCTACTTAAATCTTTCAGAATATCAGTGTCCTCATATATAAGACAGATATAATGAGATAATGCATTTGAAAAAATCATTGTACACAGTGCCTAGTTATTATTAGGGGTTCAATTTATATTTGTTGGATATAAATTATATATATATACTTATGTATATCCACAAGTATATCAGCATGTCTTGCTCTTACTTTTAATGCTCCATTATACTTGTGTTCTGTTTCAATTATGTCAGTAAACTTATCTCTTTCTTCATATTATATTCAACTTGAAAGTAGAAAATTAATATTATCCATTGCATATACCTTTTGTATATAGGGCAGCACACACCTTCCATATGGAAGACAGTTACTCAATGTTGAATTAAAGTTATATACAATAATAATACATTTTCCAAAACATTTTAATAGTTTGCTACTAATTTTTATATGTCAAAGTAAAAGTCTTAGAGATAATAATGATCTCGTTTTATTATTGGAGTTCCTTAATTTACTGAGTTGAACCATATAATTTGCTATTTTTATAGACTAAAAATGGTTAAGTCTTAACAACTTTATATGATTCTATTTATATTACTAAATATACTAAGAAACAAAATTAAAAGGAGAATCAAAGCTTTTGAAATCTGTATCACAGAGGATAATTACATTTATTTTAAAAAAGAAAAGAAAGATAGCTGACATTACCTGATTCTTTTGCAACCCTAAGTCTGCTTTCCCATTCATCAAAGGGTCCCATACATTTGGCTAAAAATGTCTGGAGAGTAACACAGTCCAAGGGTAACACGTGATTATCAGCACCAACATGTAAAATAGGATCCACAACTATGTAACCCCCACCACTTTTCTCATTTCTAAGGAAAAAACAAAACAAAAACTTCTCAGTTAATGATAGGAAAAAAAAAAATCCTCATTTGATAGTCGGACTCTTTAATGGGAAGTGAATTGTCCCATTTAAAAATATATTTCTAAGCACATAAAATCATTTACAAAGTTGCAATGAAATTCAATGGAAAAGCCTCATTTTATCCTTTTCTAATCTCTACATAATAACATAATACATGTAACATCTAATAATGTTGCTTTAAGGAAAAATAAGTGTACTAAAATCTGTCAGTAATAACATGGGCACTCAAGCAAATAGCATCTTATAATGAAGTTATATGAAAAGACTAGAATATTCAAACATTTACTTAAAAAAAATACTTTGAACCTGCAACGAGTCTTACAGTTACTTCCTAGGAACAAAAGAACCATATTATATTTGCATCTCAAAGAATCCTGTAAAAATTGCACTGCCATGGTTTATATAATAACTTTTTACAAGCTATATAATTTAACTGGATAGAATAAATTAACTCCCCCCACCCACCACATATAGAACACCTGACTTACCCTTGAAGGAAGTAATACTGAAATGATCCAGCTTGCTGAAGATTAAGTTTACAGTATTTATCAGAATCATCTTCTCTTTCTGTTGGATTTTCCCATTCCAGGGAACGGAATTTTTCTCGATTAAATGCTTCTCCAGGAAATGGGTAATTTGTATACACAGTAACTGCTTTTCCCTGTAAAGTGGGGCCTAATCGGAACTGTAGTTCGAACCCTAAATAAAAAGCACATTTCAATAAACTCATTGTAGGAACTTAAATTACCACATTAAAAAATAGATGTTTTATTTAAAGTATTACATAAACTACGGTTTCTCAACTATGTTTAAAATAACTCCTAGGGATGCCTGTGTGGCTCAGTCAGTTAAGTGTCTGCCTTCGGCTCAGGTCATGATCCTGGGGTTCTGGGATTGAGTTCCGAATCGGGCTCTCTGCTTCTCCCTCTGCCTGCTGCACTCTCTCTCTCTGACAAATAAATAAAACTTAAATAAAATGAAATAACTCCTAATAAATAATGCTGGTTTTGGAACTACTTTGCGTTCTAATTTAGCTGAATTTTATATTTTAACAAACACTTAACATCATAGAACTGCCTGCTCTGTCCTGTCTCTCTCCTCTCCTCCTGGAAACTGATTCCTATTTGCATGGCTATTTTGGAATATGCAAATTCTTTTTTTTTTCTTTAATAATATGTCTTCAAGTTGGTTTTTTTTTTTTTTTTTTGATTTTATTTATTTATTTGCGAGAGAGACAATGAGAGACAGAGAGTATGAGAGGGAGGAGGGTCAGAGGGAGAAGCAGACTCCCCGCCGAGCAGGGAGCCCGATGCAGGACTCGATCCCGGGACTCCAGGATCATGACCTGAGCCGAAGGCAGTCGCCTAACCAACTGAGCCACCCAGGTGCCCCTATGTCTTCAAGTTTATTGAGAGTACTTTTAGAAACTAGGATAGCACTAAAGCAAAAAAACAAAATGAAATTTTACTGAACTTGAAATCTTTCTTTCTCTTTAATTTTAATTCCAGTATAACTAATATATAGTGTTATATTATTTCCAGGTGTACAATACAGTGTTCAATAATTCTATACATTACTCAATGTTCATCATGATACGTGTACTCTTAATCCCCTTCACCTATTTCACCCATCCCCCAACCCTCCTCCCCTCTGGTAACTTATCTGTTTGTTCTCTACAGTTAAAGTCTGTTTTTTGGTTTATCTTTTTTTCTTTGTTTTGTTTCATAAATGCCACATATGAGTGAAATCATATGGTATTTGTCTTTCTCTGACTTATTTAATTTAGGATTTATTCTCTATATCCACCCACGTTGTAAACGGCAAAATTTTGTTCTTTTTTATGGTTAATACCACATCTTCCTTATCAATTCATCTATTGATGGACACTTCAGCTGCTTCCATAATTTGGCTATTGTAAATAATGCTGCAATGAACATACGAGTGTATATATCTTTTCAAATTAGTGTTTTGATATTCTTTGGGTAAATACGCAGTAGAGGAATTACTGGATCATATGGTAGTTCTATTTCTAATTTTTTGAGGACTCTCCATACTGTCTTCCGCAGTGGCTACACTAGTTTACATTCCCACCAACAGTACACATGGGTTCCTTTTTCTCCAAGATGTGCAAGTTCTTATATTACCCCATTTCCCATGATCCCTCAACACTTTCCGAACCCCCAGCCCCCACCTCTGAATTGACTGCCCAGAGGTGGGCATCTAAGTACTTAGAGATCTTTGCTAGTATTTTTCAAACAGCAACAGAAAAAGTGAGTTTCTCTGTGGTGTCAGAGTATGTGATAGTATGTAAAACTTGGGAGGTATTGGAGTAACTATCTCACCATAGAAAGAAAGCCAGTCTTCCTGAGAGAAGACAACCTCTTGAAAGGCAGTTTTCAGATTTCTAACAGAAGCTCCAGAGGCATTTGAGCCCCTGATGTATGTTCTTGATGTCTGCTCAAATCCAGCGGTATGGTAATAGTTAACAAGTGGCTGTGTGAGGCTGGGGTTGGGGGTTGGGAGTGCTGAGCCCTGACTGAGCGGTGTTTGCTGACTTTCTGGGGGAAACAATCTTACTGTGTTCAACCTTAAGCTACCAACGTGATCTCACTGAACATGGAACTGGGAAGAGATATGCACAGTCTGCTCTTGTGAGTCAACACAAGTGATTCCAGCAAACTAATGCTTCTATCCCTATTTCTCATGGTTTAGTATTTAATATTTAAGCCTTTCCGGAATTCTGAGGGCCAAAACATTCCCACTTTTACCAAAGTTAGGCTATTTCTACTAAAATATATCCGAGACTTCTACAATGTGTTACAAGTATTTTGCCATGAAAAAAAAAATCAACACATTATAGTTATACTTTTACAGTGAAATAAAATTGTCGTTGGTTCACGGCAGATTTTAAATCCTGATTATAATTATTAGAATGTGAAAATTCTGACTATAGTAAAGTCTGTTAGAACTATAAGGCATGTAAGAGTATACTTACCATGATGAGCACTGAGTAACACATAGAATTGCTGAATCACTATATGTATACCTGAGACTAATATAAGACTGTATGTTAACTACACTGGAATTAAAATAAAAAACGTTAAAAAAGAAGTAATAAAAAAAGAAATATAAGGCTTATAAATTTTAATCATGAAT